GATAATTCTATTGTTTATTTTAATGTTAATGCAAAGATTTCCTCTTCATTGGGATTATAGATCCAGCGATCCAGGAACCAGAAAATCCCAATAGATTTTTTTTTGATCAAATTGTCCCATGAAAGTACAAGAATGATGTATGAAAATTACAGTTCAAAATGTATACGTAGAATGAAATCACGAAACTTCACAATTTGTTTATATCGACTCAAACATGTATGATTGTGACGGTTTGTTTCTTCAGTGACGATTTCTGGGAGGTTTTAGCTGAAGAAACACCTGGAGCCCTCCCTATGTGAGATCTTATATCTTTCTTTTTTTTAAATCTCTGATGTTTACTCCGGAGATATTGTTGAAGGATACAATATCTCAAATAGCTCCAGTGGTTGTCGGAGCGACAACCTGTTGTGGAGGGGGAGTAGTGTAGCGTATTCCCCCCTCCTAATATTTTAATTGTAAATGGAGGAGGTCATCACGTCTTGGGAGCGATGGTCAGATAAAAGAAGAGAGGATAGTAATTATGTTCAAGCCTTCTCCTACAGCAGAAGAAGAAAGTTCTTGTTTGTAAATAAATCGCCCTTTTGAATACTTGTGAATCCTTTCTTTATTTCTTAAAAGTAACAATATTATTAAAAGGGTGTCTTGAGTTTGTTATCTGTAAACCTACAACTTTTTTTAGATATCTATATAATCACCGATGCCAAAAGAAAAATCAAATGAAATTCTCTCGGATTCCACAGTGTCAAATTAAAACATATAAAGTTAAACTTACAGTCCATTCTGTACTCGCGGTGAAGAGAATCAAGCGTTGCTACCATTACTGCCTGGCCGTTGATTATAGACCTCCAAGTTTCGAAGCAGTAGGAGTACCCTTCGGGTTCATCTCCATCACCGGGGAACTCATAAACCTGCAGATTGTCGTCAGCACCATGCACTTGGCACTGTAGTCTGGTATTATCTTGGGAGATGTTTGTCGTGAACTCCATGATGACGTCCAAAGAGTCATATGTCCTCATTTGCGTAGCTTTTTTTAGATTCACTGGTGAAACGAAAAAAAGTTCACCTATAAATTATTAAACAAACGGATTGATAAATTCCCATATTCCAATGGAGACGGAAAAGATAGACCGTGTCCAGTCTCTCCCAATAGTAAAAAAATCAGCGGTGGTATTTGGAAATTGTGGAATTTTTTTAGGTTGCTACCCCTTATGATTTCGGACAAAATTTGCGATCCGAATGATAAAGATTGGCGTGCAATAATATTGTTAACGGAAATAATAGAAATAGTGATTGCGCCCGAGATTAATAAAGTTTGTGTATTGTATTTAGAGCAATTAATAGCGGAGTACATGGACTTGTGTAAACAATTCCCGCAGAAGCTCCATCCGAAGCATCATTATTTGTAACATTATCCATGGTTAATTTTGCGATTCGGACCATTAATGAAATGTTGGACCATGCGATTCGAGAGTAAATACCGTTGTTTCAAGGACTTATTCCGCAAGTGAAAAAATATTAATAATGTAACAAAGACAGCGAGTATTAAACACGAATTACACCAGAGTTACTTGCGTATGGGGGGCGACATACGTAATCAAGTAACACCCGAAAATGGAATTGTTTTTAATCCCGTTCGTTATAACCAGTCCATTCAAAATCTCATAAAAAACTACAACGCCTCACGAGCAATTATGGAATGGTGTAGCGTTGTGATTAAGGGAATCCAATATGAAAGGGGCGATATGCTATTTATCTGTCAAACTGCATACAACTGTGAGCGAGCGATATTTGTGATGTGAGCGTTGGTAGGATCGTTGTCATTATGAATTCTGGAATAACTGACGACGTTTACTTTGTTGTGGAGAAATTAGAGACTAGGTTCATTCCTCTCCTCAGAAGTTATGATTTAGGGAGCATCACCGGCTATGAGCTGATATGTCACGATTCCTTGATTAGCAATGAAAAATTGACCCCCTAAATAATTAACGGCAATTGCTACATAAAGACGCACTTCGGTCTAGTTAAAAAAAGCCTATAAGCAAATCAATAATTCAATCGTGTGCAATATTTCCTGATAATCTAACACAATCCTAAACTCAGAATGGCACTCACCTTCTTCATTGTATTCTCCTTTTCCACCATAGAGAGTGCCCGGGGCGTGAGAATGGGACTATTCAAAGTTATAGTATATGGTAAGTCAACAAGGAAGGCTGTTTGTACAGAGACTCCTACTGAAGTGATCTCCAAATCTCTAGAAAAATTTGATGAATGCTAATACCACGTTGTATTGGAAGATGGTGGCACGAAAATCGATGATGACGAAGTACTGGACGAACTGGCGGAGAATTCTTCTACACATATTCGCCTTATGTTATTACCTGAAGGTGTTTCGTATGAAGCAACGAAACCGTCCTGATCTACATCGCTTGGTAAGTTATATAGAATTTTTTTTTTGCCAGGGCTAAACCCAAAAGTGTGAGCGCTGGTAGTGGAAGGGGCGGGAGAGGGTTACAGGGGCTTAAGCTGGGAGGAAAGAGAAATTAATAAAGTAAGAATGATGAAAAAAAGGAAATCAAATCAGAATAAATTAATAAAGTCCATTTTTATACTTTCGATTATTTTTCTCATCAGAATTTGAACCAATAGGAAGATACTATTCGACGTCTCGTGGTAGAGAGGGGGTAAAATTATTTCGATAATTTTTCGGTTATTTTTTCTTTTAATTCATATTTTTCGGTTAAACAGCGACCCTAATAAAAAAAAAATTTTTCTTGTATAATAAAAAAAAATTCTGACACAAATCTTGTTATCTAATCCGCAGAAATGTCAAATACTGCCTCCCTATCGGTTGAAATTCCGATGAAAAAATAATCAAGCCGGATGCCCCTCGTGCTTCAAAATCAGTCGAAAATTTTTCTCAAATTTTCCTACATAGAAATGAGGGGGCCAAGCTTCGGAAAAAATCCCGGGCGCTACGCGTTCGGGTTTTCTAAATTGCCAATCTTGCCCCGCTCATTGCTATGCAACAAAACTTTCGATAATTTTCGATAATTTTTGAGGCACTCGGGTCATGACGAACGATAGTAGAGCATTTTTCTCGGCAAGCAGTGATTTTGCTGATAAATGTCAAAAAACTTTTTTGCAGATGAGGAGAATCCCTACAGAAAAGGATTCTTGTGATTTTTTCCTAAGGTCACTCAATATCGTGATAATCCTGTAGTTAATTACCTGGATAAAGAGAAATTAAATTTAATTACATTTTTGGTACATTTCATATGAAAAAACCGTGAAAACAAATAATATGTGACAGAAGTACCATAATATGACAGTATATACCCTTATATTTCACTCTTATATGACTGTTGTATTTGAGCATGAGACTGGATAACTTAACTTTAAGGGGTTACTAACAATCTCAACTTCTGTTATTTAATTAGAAAAAACGATTAACTTTACACTGTTGACATTTAGCAGGTAACTTGATGAGACGTCCTCGCCGGTTAGACATGTTGTGGACAACCGTGTCTTGAGTGAGAGCGAGAGAGAAAGAATATCTACCTGCTGACTCTTACCTGACCGTTACCAGTCACGACTGGAAGTCACTGTGATGATGAGACAAGCCGGAGTTTAATTACCTCTTTAGAAAAATTAATCAGGATCATGATGTTTGGGATAAGGTATTAAAATATGCCGAAAATGTAACACGTAAAGGAAGAGAAAGAGACCAGTTACACCAATTAAATATTTTATTCAATTAAAGGTGACTCAATTTCGCGTACACCCAGGGTGAAAACCATCGGAGGAAAAATAGAAAGATAGATAAGTAGAGAAATAGGATAATGAAGGACATGGACACTTACAATTGGTTGATCGAAAAACAGGGGGATCGGAAGGGGTGCTCTGTGGTTGAGTTGAATCTGTCCGTTCTGTTGGGCTCTGCAGAAGCGTCCTCAGAGGTTGGTGAACCGTCGATTGATAGTTAATCCACTCGAGTAGACTGGAAAGCCGAAGGAATGGCCGATCTCGATGAACGGTGAAATAATAGAATATTATTTCCTCACGTTGGACCCTTAGACAGTTGACTCGTTCTGATGGAAAGGGACCACTACTTTGTACTGGGAGTATGAGTTTGAATAGTGATTCTGGAGACTTCTGGCTATGATTTCAAGGCTTTGAACTGATCTTTCGAGCTTCGGGCTACTAATTCTACCCTCCGAACTTCGAACTGATTTTTCCGCGTCGCGGCTCCCTTTTTATATTGAATCGAAAGTGTGTCATCAGGGGTGGAAGGTTCTAGAAGCTTTCCCCTTTTTTTACCATTGTCTTCTCCAGGTATCCGCCTAATTATTGGATTTCTTTGGATATTATTCAGAGATTGGTTGTGAAGTTTCTCCTATCCCTTCATGGAGCCCGTTGATTGGTGATTAGGTGACATTAAGCCTCCTCATTTTCCGTCTGAGCTTGCGTAGTTTTTCCCAAATTTTATGAAGGGAATAGTCGACTATCTGCTTTTCCTAATTGACGTGGGACACGCGAAGACCATCCTTCGTTCCGATCCCGTCCCTTGATAAAAGTCGTATCATGACTCGTGTTTATTTTCAGGCGTTTTTGCCTTAATTGAATAGACACTTCCGCCATATGGTCGTTGTCCAGCTACGTCACCCGCGAAACTTCTTAAGCGGTAATAGAATTATCCAAAATTCTCGTACGTACAGGGCACGTAACACTATCCAATGATCCTCATGCGTACGTAAGGTACGTAATAGACACGTCCGGTTTAGTCCCAACTCCTCGTACGTCTACTCCTTTTGGTTTTAGCGTAGATTGCTTCTCAGTCCTCAACTGAGAATTGTCTCTAGAATCCAAGGGATCATCTCCAGGAATGAAGAGAGAATCAAGTCCAGAAGTAGAGGAAGATCTATCTCCTACTGTATTGTCAGGGTCTTCAACTACTCCCTCTATCGTTGAAGGGTCCACCAATGGTTTGTTGGAGCGATGGTCTACTCCCAGCTCTTCTGACCTGTTAAATAACTCAAGACTTTCAGAATTCGAAATCTCGAGAGGATAGAGTTGTTGCAAAAGTCGAGTGAGCTTACCGGTGGCTGTCTTGAGCCTGACAACTCTCACTTCTCCATCTTTTCCAGGATAGAGCTGGATCACCTTAACCAAGGGCCAGTCTAGTCTCTTCTGGAGCTCGTTCCCGCAGAAAACTAGATCACCCACTTTGATCTGTTGAGAGAAATTGTTGTTGCCGGGTCTGCGTTGCAATTGTTTGAGATAATCGATGCGAAAACGTTGTCTCAAATGCTCTCGTAGTTGTTGTAGATAACGTTGTCTCCTGTTCATCGAATCAGCATCAACAGCATCGATATCTGGCACTCCAATTTCCCTCACCTCTTGCAGAAATAGACCACGCGAAAGGGGGTTAACTGGTGGGTTATCTTCTGCCAAGTATGTCAATGGTCGAGAGTTGATCACAGCCTCGCAGTCACATAACATAACCACGAGGTCCTCGTAAGCAAGTGAGGATTTCTTGAGTGTTCTCTTGAGAAGGTCTTTCATCAATCTTATCAATCTCTCCCAACAATCTCTCCACCATGGAGATGCTGGTAGATTGAACCTCCATTCAATCTTATTAATATAATAGATCCGTCATTAATCACCTTTTCCCAATGGATTTTCTAAAGATGCTAAAATTGGTAGCATTATCAGTATAAATGACAGCTTCCAGAAACTTCTCTGTCAACAACGAGGAAACCAGTTCCAAATGAACAGCTCTGTATACTGCACGCGTGAATAAACAGACCCAGGCCTTGGTCCCATCCCTCAAGAACATGGGGCCAGAAAAATCCACCCCAACAATCTCGGAGACTCGAGCATCTCTGACACGATTTTCAGGAAGACCTGAGGGCTTGGGTTGCATCTTCTTGGTATTGTGACGCCTACATGTAACACAATACTGAACTATGGCTCGTACAGACTTTCTACACTGGAGAATCCAAAATCTCTCTCTGAGCACATTAATCACTGTGTCTATAGGTGCATGGAGCATCTTGCGGTGTTTATACTCTATGAGCTTCGTCACCAATGCATGGTTAGGGTTCAGTATAATCGGGCGACGGAATCCAACGGTGTCTTTTGGATTTTCCATAGGACTCTTGAGTCTCAGCAGATCATATTTGTCTCTTATTATCCACATATTACTCAATCGTTGATCTTTCATACCTGAGAAACTCTCCTATTGGACGAAACGCATCAGGATGATCTCAGCCAACTCTATTTCTTGTGCAGTCAACTCTCCCCGTTCTCTACTATCCTTTCCTCGTCGGGCATTATGTGAAAACCTCTGGATCCACCCTACTAGTTTCACGATGCTAGAGTACTTTGAAAATCTTTGAAGATACAAAGGGACGTCACACACCTGATCTGGAGTTACGTTACCGAGTACTTGATGCGAGACAGTAGGCTGCTTCTTAATCTTGCGAGATTTCGGGAGAGTTTTACGTAATTCACAGTTGATGAGCGTCTCATCTGCTTCTGGATTCGATGAAGGCCATTGATCTCGAGGGAGTGTTAGCCATTCAGGCCCCAGTAACCATTGAGACTGAACCAACTGACGTGAGTAGTATGGGAACTACTTTGGCGCCTCCCACCTAAAGTCGATATGGCCCCACCACCACACCTGCCAGAGTAGTACGGCTCCGACGTGTGTGAGCGGTGGGGTATAGCGTGGCTGCGGGTGCGTCACCCGGGCGCGTATCCCAATCCCGAGCGGTTTCGGGAAAACCGCTGGTCCCTCGGGTATGAAATTAAAATTTGGGAGTCAAAAATTTTACCCCCACCACCGCTTATAAGTATAGGACCCCACCACCACACCGATCGAAATAGCGCGGCTCCGACGTGTGTGCGCGGTGGGGTACAGCGTATACTGCGGGCGGTACCCCAACCCCGAGCGGTTTTGGGGGAACCGCTGGTCCCTCGGCCGCGATACTAAAATTTGGGGGTGAAAAATATTGATACACGTCACAAAAAAAAATACCCACTCTATCACACACACACACACAATAATGCAAATGTTTGATCACTAAAACAACACTTCTCGATAATTAAGATCTTGTCACGGCCGCGCTTCACTGAGGGCTGAAAAAATGATTATATGGTTTGGGGAGACAGCCGTTGAGTTGGTTACTCACCCTGGAAAAATGTGCTGGCCTTGCAGTTTTGCACGTGCACTCTGTGACATCTTCTCCACCGTAACCCACGCTAGCTCTCGAAGGTCAGACTAGCCGTCTCCACATGTGCTTACCTTGCAAATCTGACATCTGCAGAGACGAGTTGATACCATTCTCTTTCTTATAAGAATATTCTCATCATTTAAAATTACTAGATTTAATTTTAACAAATTTATTTCTCATCAAGTCGATGATTAACAATCGTTTAAAAATGAAAATAGTTATTTCCCATGGTTGATATATCTAAATACACAGAACCAAATTATTACAGTCTAAAAATAAAATCATATACATTATAATTGGTAATTATTGTGACACGGAGAGAGCTTGGGCATTTTTCGAGGCCTGCCGCGCCTCCTTTTCGGTGCATCCTCAGGTGTCACCGGCCACATCCTCTTCAAAGGCGGTGGTGAGAATGCACGCTCCCCCTCTAGCTTCTCTTCCAGAGCCCTGATGCATGACGCACACCTTTCCCTTGGTGCACACCACCTCAATTTTGGCAGTTTGGAGTTAAGAATCTGTTGCTTGGTTAGGCGTGGTATATATATATATATGGTTAGGCATGGTATATATATATATATATATATATATATATATATATATATATATAT